TGCGGTGGAGGAGCCGCCCGTGGGCGCGTCCGTGGTGTTTGACATCAAGGAGTCCCCGTAGGCGGACGGACACCGCAGTGACCGACCCGGCGCAGAGGCCGCGTGGGGCTGACCACGGGGGAGGGAGGCCTGGGTGCCTCCGCTCTCCGCAGACGCCGGAGCTCGAGGGGCCTCCGCTCTCCCCAGACGCCGGAGTTTGGGGGGCCTCCGGTCTATCGAGCCCTTCGCACCCTTTAAACTCTCATTTTCTGTTGCCTCTGGGACCCTGAAACGGGTTCACAGGTCACGTTAGAAAGCCCACATAGGCCCTTTGTGTACAGGGTGCCATGGGCGATTAAAGCAAAAGTAATTATCATGGAGTAACATGTCCCAGCCGGTGCGGAAGCTCGCGACCGAGCGGCATGCCGGGACCTGGCAGGGCCTGTGGGCGTTGTCCAGTGCCTGGGTCTGAGGTTGGCCAGGAAGCATTGGGGGGCATAAAATTTTGCTGGGTTTTATAACCAATAAGTAAATAAAAATGCCGGATTTTTTTTTTTAATCCTCACCAGAATAATAATAACATTTCCTATGGATTATTTTTTTAGAGAGTGGAAGGGACCGGTGCAGAGAGGAGAGACAGAAACATTGTTGTGTCAGAGACACATGGGTTGGTTGCTCCCACTCGTGCCCCAAAGGGAGCCACAGATTGAATCTGCAAACAAGGTACGTGCCCTTGGCCAGAAATCTAACCCTGGACCCTGCAGTCCACGGGCCAGTGCTCTAACCACTGAGACACCTGCCAGGCGGGAGGTGGATCTTCAGAGAGCTGCTCGCTCTTGGAAAGGTTCTGAGCAAAACAAAATGTCACTGCATTTCTGGGAAGTTCTCAGCGTGCAGGACTAGTGTGTGTGCACCGCGGAGCCGGCGAAGGGTCTCCGTTCACACTCACACAGTGTTTGATACGCACACGCGGGGTCCCGGGGCCAGTCTGCACTCACGGGCTTTAGAGCAGCTTGGCCCCCACCCCATCAGCCACATCAGCCACCCTCCTGCCCAAAGCGGACGGCACAGGAGCCCCGAGATGCCACTGCTCCTGGGAAAGCCAGCGCTGCTCTGAGCCGCAGGTTGGTCCTCCATTGGGGACGTCTGGTTGTCGGGACTGCGGGAGGCAGGGCCACTGCATCTTGTGGGCTCAGGCAGGGATGCTGCTCACCACCCCATATCGTCCCTGCTGCCAAGGGAGAGACACGGCGCCCAGCACCAGCCACCGTTTCCCAAACTGTAAATTGGTTGGTCGGGGCTGTGCTAACAATGTTTTATGTTTGTTTATTTTTTTTTTTTATTGATTTCAGAGGAAGGGAGAGGGAGAGACTGAAACATCGATGAGAGAGAATTCTTTTTTTTTTAATATATTTTATTGATTTCCCACAGAGAGGAGGGGAGAGGGATAGAAAGTCAGAAACATCGATGAGAGAGAAACATCGATCAGCCGCCTCCTGCACACTCCCCACTGGGGATGTGCCCACAACCAAGGTCCATGCCCTTGACCGGAATCGAACCTGGGACCCTTGAGTCCTCAGGCCGACGCTCTGTCCACTGAGGCACACCAGCGAGGGCTCTTCTTCAGTCTATATTCATTCTGGGGCCGGGGGGCGGGGGGGGGCAGATTTTGTCGCCATCTCCAGCCTGCCCATCAGCTGCTCCTCGCTTTGCCTGGTGAAATGCCCGCTGATCTGGCCTCACGCCTCCAGGTGTGCTGGGGCTCCTCGTGAATTGTGTGACCCACCTTGTATGGGGTCTCTGCTGGAGGCCCCAGATGTCGGAGCCAGGTGAGGCCAGACTTCTGAGAACATGGTTTATTTCTGTGTGACGCGGGGCGTGCTCATGTTCATGGTTGCAAACCCTGCCTCGATCCTCTTACTGCTCTCTCATTTTAAACCTGAGCAGAGCCAAGCTGGCCAACTTGGTCCACGCTGTTGTTGGCATAACGAGCACTGTGACAGCCCTGGCTGGTTTAGCCAGCGGTTAGAGCCTTGGCCCGCAGACTGAAGGGTCACGGGTTCGATTCCGGGTCAGGGGCACGTACCTCAGTTGCAGGCTCCCCAGCCCCAGGGGCACGTGCAGGAGGCACCGAACGCTGTATCTCATATCAACCTTCTCTCTCCTCCCACCCACTGTCTAGAAAGTCATGGAAAATCATTCTCGGGTGAGGATTTAAAAAGCACACAGTGTGATCAGGGTGTGATCCTGGGTGTCTCAGGCCAGCGTGCATAAAAACCCAGGATTTCGCCCCGCCGGTGTGGCTCAGTGGTTGAGCATTGAACTGTGAACCAGGAGGTCATGGTTTGATTGCCGGTCGGGGCACATGCCCATGTGGCACACTTGATCCTCAGTGCGGGGCGTGCAGGAGGCAGCCGATCCATGATTCTCATCATTGATGTTTCTCTCTCTCCCTTCTCCTCTCTGAAATCAATAAAAACGTATCTTTAAAGTGGTGACAGGAGAAGGTTTTATCTTGGGTGGTGGGCATACGGTGCAGTATATGGATCTTGTAACAAAAGCCCACACCTGGAACCTATATGATGGTGTTGACCAGTGTCACCCCAATAAACGTAATGAAAACCAAAGCCCAGGGTTTGAGTCTCCCGCTTTCTAACCTAGAGTGGAGCAAAGTGGACGCCCCCATAGACGCGGCGCCCGCCCCGGGCCCGTCAGTCATTTGCTCTGAGACACAGACACGGCCCCCCGTTTGCTGTCCCCCCGCACGGGCATCGCAGTGAAGTTAGCGGCATCCACTCACATCCGGAGAAGGAAGGAAGCAGCCCTGGCCCTGGGGCGGTCGGCACTGCAGCCTGCGGGAGGCACGTGAGGCCGGCGGCGCCCAGAGTCCCGGAAAGACGGCGTCCGGCGCTCATCGCTGGAGGTTCTGCCTGCAGGGCCCCCGCGAAGCCCAGGCCGTGTCCCCGCGCAGCCTCCGTGTCCGCCCTCCGCCCTCCGGGTCACTGCGGGCGGGAGCCTTCCCTCCGCACAGGAAGGCGTGGCCTCGGGAGGAAGGTGGGCCCAGGACTCGGAGCCGCCCGCCGTTACACGGTGACGTCAGAGAGGCTTCAACAGATCGGGGCTCCTTGGGGGCCGCCTCGGGGGACCAGCGCCGCGCGCTCTGCAGCCCCTCCGCCTCCCCCAGCGTCTCGGGAGGCCGTGGCCCCGCCCTTGCATCCAGATCAAGAGACGGGGGGGAGGGCAGGCCAGGAAAGGCCTCCAGCAGATCCCACTGCGTCTCATGGGCCAAGACGGGGCCCCCTCAGGACAGGGGGCTCGGAAAGCTGGTCTTCAGCTTTTCCAGGCTGCATGGTGCAGACCTGCACCCCGAGAAACGGGCGTGGGGAGTAGAGGCCCGGTCCCTGGGTCACTCGCCGCTGCCTCCCCGCCCATCCCCTCATCCCCTGGGTCGTCCAGCCTGCGGCCGGGCCCTCCTACATCCTGGGGTCCTGCCCCTTCCGATCCCTTCCACCGCGAGGGGCTCCTTGTCCTCCCCTCCCCTCTTAAATGTTGGGGGGCGGGGTCCCAGGACAGTGCCCGGGGTCCGTCTTGTGCTCCTCGCCCTCCCCATGTATCCTCTCCGCACCCACAGCTTTGCTGCTCTGTCCCCCTCTGGGCCTCTGGTGCCGAGTTTTAGCTTCCGGCCAGAACAGCAGCAGAGCCGTCCCCTTGCACCAGGGCCCTTTTTCGGGGTCGTCCCCCCACACACACAGGCCCCCCAAGCCAGAAGGTAAATGAGCTTCGGCCTCGGTGGCCTCCTGCTCTGCAGACCTCACCACCTGCACGTCGGCTCTTCCTGCTCCCACTCCCCCACCTCCAGCCCCAGAGGGAAGGGACCACCCTCTGGCAGCGCCTGAACCCCCTCGAGTAGTCCTCTGCTGTGCGGGGTGCAGACTCAGAACGGCTCCACTGGCCGGCGTTCCCGGGAGGGGGACCCCGCTGTGGCTCCGTGTTCTCAGTGGCTCGGGGACTGGCCTGAGGTTGCCCCGTCCCCTCCACCGGGCCCCGAGATGACGGCACCCGAAGGGCTGTGTTTCCACGGTTCAGAGTGGGCGCTGGGCGGGCACCCACCTGCCTCCCAGGCAGCCGAGACCTCTGCAAATGTCCCGTTTCTCATCTCATGTCAACAGTAAAAATGCGGAAGCCACCTTCGCGTCGACCACGGGGAGCCTAGCTGAGTGGCCTGTGGTGTGAAGTGGAAAACTGCCGGCCGTAAAACTGGGGGTGTCGCCTGGCCGGCTTGGCTCAGTGGATAGAGCGTTGGCCTGCGGACTGAAGGGTCCCAGGTTCAATTCCAGCCAAGGGCACATGCCTGGGTTGTGGGCTCGATCCCCAATAGGGGGCGTGAAGGAGGCAGCTGATTAACGATTCTCTCTCATCATTGATGTTTCTATCTCTCCTCCCTTCCTCTCTGAAATCAATAAATATACTTAAAAAAAAACTGGGGGTGTCTCCGTGTACGAGTGTGGGCAGAGCCCCAGAACACGTGGTTAAGTGAGACGGTGGCAGCCGTGTGTGCTGTGTCCCCCTTTTGTGTCTCACACATTCTCTGTGAGAAAGGGTACAACGTACCAGCTGCTCTTGGGCAGGAGAAACGGATGAGCAATAATTTTCACTCTGTATCTTTTCATATTTTGAAAATTTTGAAACATGGAAAAGTACTACCAGTTCAAGAAATAAAAAACTCTCAAAATGAAAGTAAGTTTAATCATTTCTTCCATTGTTTACTGTCTCTCTCTCCCATTAAAACAGTGGTTCTCAACCTTGGCTGCACATTAGAATCACCTGGGAATCTTTTTAAAATCTTGCCCTGGCCGGCTTGGCTCAGTGGATAGAGCGTCGGCCTGCGGACTGAAGGGTCCCAGGTTCGAAAATCCTGATTTCTGGGCCTCATCCCAGGTGATTCTAATGTGCACCAGGTCAGGGTGGCGCAATGCTTGAGCCTGGACCTACGAACCAGGAGGTCAGGGTTCGATTCCTGGTCAGGACACGTGCCCGAGTTGCAGATTCCATCCCCAGTAGGGGGTGTGCAGGAGGCAGCCGATCAATGATTCTCATCATTGATGGTTTCCTCTCCCTTCCTCTCAGAAATCAATAATAGTAATTCTTTTTAAAGCAGCAGCAGCGTGCCGACAGGTGTCCGCACACCTGGCAGCGCAGAGCCGGGGGGGCGGGGGAGGGGGGGCCTCCGGCTGTCACACAGCAGGGAACTCACTTTATATGATGTTCAGAGCGCACCCCCTCCACCCTCCTTGCAGGAAGGGCCGGGAGCTGTCCGAGGTGCTGACACGCCCTGCGGTGGCTGAAAGGGGAATTGGTTGAAATGACTTAATTAAAATGACAAATCGGGTTTCCTGGCCACACCCGGACTCCACGTTCCCGGGCAGACAGTCCATGCGCATTTCCAAAAATGTCAGTGGTCCCAGCGGGCACCGCGCATCCCAGGACGGGGATCGTGCATCCCGAAACAGGGAGCTCGTATTCTGGGACAGAGCCCTTTCCTCTGCCCCGGCCGCTCCTCCCTCTCCTAACCTCAGGGTGGGGCTCAGGACTCTCACCTCAGGGTGGGCCTCAGCAACCGAGGGGGCAGATCTGGGACAGAGGCCCCCGTGGCCACGCTGTTTATCAGCCAAAATCCAGAAAAAGGACGGAGCGGTGACACACAGCTCAGCCTCCAGGTCATGTGCAACCACACGACAGACACGTGGGATCCCTGTACATGGTCCCAGTGAGACACACACACACACACACACACACGATACACACCCCTCACCCCGGCACCCACACCCCTCAACCCAGCACACGCGCATCCTCACCCCCTCGCACCATGCATGGTTCAACCTCCCACGCACGGTCCAGCTGCTAGATCCTGCACTCACCGTCCCGCTGCCCCACCTGGACTACAACTCCCGGCGGGCCTCGGACTGCTGGAGGGCTCCTGCGTGGCACCGTCTACGAACTGTAACCATGGGCGACGCCCGGTCCGTGTGGCGCGGCGCATTCCGGGAGTTGTGGTCCAGGCGGGCTGCGCGGCTCATTCTGAGAGTTGTGGTTCTTGTGAGCTGCGCGGCGCATTCTGGGAGTTGTGGTCCCAGCGGGCTGCGCGGCGCATTCTGGGAGTTGTAGTTCCGGCGTGCCGACGCGCTGGCGGGCTCCTCCGTCGGGCGCCTACGC